AAGTTTTGTGGGGTCTGTGCAATTTCTAGATGTAAGTTTTGTTTATTAAGTGAAACGCCAGGTTTTTCTAATTTCAACAATATAAATATGTCTTGTAATTGCTTCATACTTTTTTCTGGGTCAGATTGTTTTTAATTTATATCGATACTATATAAATATTATTTCTGCAACTGCACTTTTGTTGTTTTTTTATATTGAAATTGAATTGTAACAGAAAGTCATTAATATCACGTCTTTTAAAACACTATTAAATAATTATTCCATATACAGGGTGTTCCTTTCACTTAATTAGTAGAAACTAATTAGGTTTCACTTGTAAAAAACAGTTCACTTTCGCTCAAATACAAGCGCAAAAAATATGCTTTTATATAGGGTGTCTGGAAATTATGCGTCAAGACTTCAGGAGGTGATTCCTCACAAAAATTAGGGTCACAAGGTCCTATAACAATTTTTCGAAAACTCAATATTAACGGGGATACAGGGTGTTTTTTTAGTTTTTCTTAGATAACTTTTTTATTTGTGATTTGATTTTTTCCAAGTCTTTCCTATGTATTACTAGTGCCCTTGTAGATTTATGTTCCAAATATGATGCAAATACTCCAATTCCAAACGGCCTAACCTGACCTTAATCTTCGATCTATGGCCCACAACTTTTTTGTTTTCACCGCTTTATAAATTAGAACAGCACCATGTTAAAGAGTATCAAAATTTATTTAAAAAAGTATCTCTTGTTGCGATACAATAAAATGAACCGTTTCTGAGAAAAACGACTTCAAACATTTTCATGCGTTAACGCTGTTTTAAACTGATATTCATAGTTTCAACTCATCAATACAAAATTTATTCACTAACTACATTATTAAGTAACATTTTTATTTAGTCTATGCTCTTATAATAAGTTCTCGAAATGTTGTCCTTCTTTTCGACACACAAATTCATTCTTCTCAGAAAGTTGTGACGAACCCTGAAGAATATGCCCTCTTGCTCTTATTATTGCAAAACTGTCAATAATTCGTTGCCTCAGCTCTTCCACGTTATTCAGAGGCCTTCTGTATACCAGTGACAACATAGCCCCAAAGGAAAAAGTCGATCGGGTTCAAGTCGGGCGATCTGGCAGCCCACTCTATGAATCCACCACGCCCTATCCACCTCTCAGGGAAAATTTCATTGAGGTGCCCTCTCACCATTAAACTGTACACAGGTTGCGGTGCACAGTCATGCAGTAGCCACATTGCACGTCACACTCCAATAGGATCGTTTTCCAACAAAACTGGCAGATCATTTTGTAGAAAGTGGAGGTAAACCCCACCACTAAGCCTTTGAGGAAAGAAATGTGGCCCAACTAAATGATCTCCCACGATGCCAGCCCATACATTCACAGAAAATTTATTCTGGAACCCACGTTGCACCACTAAATGAGGATTCTCGTCACACCAATAATGTTTATTATGTAGATTTATTACACCATCATGCCCGAATCCAGCTTTGTCCATGAAAAGAATTGAATTGTTGAAATTTCTGTTGCCATCACGGAGATTTACAATTGTCCTGCAAAAATTCAGTCGTGCAATCGGATCTTTAGGGAGTAGGGCTTGGACCTTTTGATAGTGGAATGGATGCAGGAGTTGTTCCTGAAAAATTTCATGGACTGAGCTTTTGGGAATATTTTCCTGCGATGCAATTAACCTGACGCTTATATCAGGATTATTATCAACCACATCCAAAACACGAACTTCAGCCCCAGGAGTTCGAGTTCGTCGTGGGCAACCGACATCAAACCGCCTCGTCTTAAAAGAGCCAAACTCACCTAATTTCTGATGGACAGTACTGAACAATGCGGTTGTGGAATTCTATTTGGAAATGCATCTCGATACAAACGTTTTGCATTTGCCGCAGCTAAGCCATAATAATAATGCATGTCGCGCAGCTCCTCATTCGAGTATTTATTATAATTATGATTGTTATTATTATTATTCATTTTATCAGTTTTAATCACGATACTTATTACACACAAATGATCACAACAGAATAATTCACATATCTGTCAAAAGTAGCTAAGGCAACATTAAGTTATTGTTTTCAAAGCCTCCTTTGTAAATCTTAAAAATCAGTTTAAAGCAGCGTTAACGCAGGAAAATGTTTGAAGTCGTTTTTCTCAGAATCGGTTCATTTTATTGTATCGCAACAAGAGATACTTTTTTAAATAATTTTTGATACTGTTTAATTCCGGTGTCCCATGCATCCGAAATCTGACGATACGAAGGTCCGAAAGTGTTCCTATTGGTTAATATACATTCAAATTTTTACCGCTCATATTCATCCGAAATTTTTTAAATTCATACGACGTCGGAAAAAGTAGAAATAATTTTAACTTTTATCCAAAATCGTATGTTTTTTAACCTCACTTTTTCAGTTTTTAACATACTATGATTGTTGTTTGATATATTTACAGTCAAATAAATGTTATATTATAATGACGAATGTAGAAAATATAATACTACATATATTTTCTATAATATATATCTATGCTTGCCATTTGAAAATGTTTCACCTTCATCTTGTAATAAATTCCATGGTTCTATACTTGATTTCTATGAGATTAATTTCGGATGCATGTGAATTATAATATTATCATTCGTACGAATTAAAATATTTTCGGATATCGTACATTGGATTTCAGATGCATGGGACACCGGCCTAACATGGTGCTGTTCAAATTTATAAAGCGTGAAAACAAAAAAGTTGTGGGCCATGGATTGAAGATTAAGGTCAGGTTAGGTCCTTTGGCATTGGAATATTTGCATCATATTTGGAACATAAATCTACAACGGCACTAGTAATACATAGGAAAGACTTGGAAAAAATCGAATCACAAATAAAAAAGTTATCTAAGAAAAACTAAAAAAAAAAAATATTTTTTTTGACACTATCTGTTAATATTGAGTTTTCAAAAAATTGTTATAGGACTTTGTGACCCTAATTTTTTGTGAGGAATCCTGAAGTCTTGATGCATAATTTCCGGACACCCTGTATAGTCCTATATGAAAAATTTGTTTTAAACGTTCCAATTTTACTGTTATCAGTTTGTTTTTGTTAAAATTTAATTTAAATTTAATAATAACGAGCAGGATGGAAAGGAGATTGGAATATCCCCAATGTTGTTAAAGAATCTTTTCTAGGAAAAATTAAGACGACAAAAACAGATGATATATGAGAATTATATTTTTGAAATCAGAAAACGTTTTGATTTCACAAATATAGGATTACTGTTTTTTCTAAATATAATATTTTTAAGACCTCAGAGATGCTTCTCCCTAAACTTAAAATAAAAAAAAAATAGCAATGATTATTTTCATTACGAAACTACATTTACTGAATTATTCCAATGTATTTTGTATACACTGGAGTAAAAGTAAAATTTCTTAATATATTTCTATCTACAGGGTCGGAAAGTCCCCATAGTTCATCGGCCGTTATGTGAGAGCGATAAAGAAACTCATAGAAATCCGTGCGATAGAGAAAGATGGCTATAATGAAGGCGTCTAATAGTCACCGCCCATTTCGCCTTTCCACAAATAAGATCCACTTCTTATTCACGTAACGGCCGATGAACCATGGGGACTTTCCGACCCTGTATATTTCATCCTATTCCTACGTATTTCTCTAGTATTTGGTTTGTTTCGGGGTATTCTGTCATCCCGTTTTATTCCATCATATTTCATGTTATTCCATCATAATCCATGTTATTCCAATCTATTCCCACAGTATTTTGATCAAAGGGTACACTAATTTCGTCTAATGGATCACTCCTCGCCAAATACTCTTATAACAAAACCATTTTTAAATTTATAATAATTATTGCTTAATTTTAGATACTGTTATAAAAATAATAATACTTGTTTACACAAATTAAATTATTAAAAGCATTCACCATACATTTTCCTAAAAAAAAAATATCAAAATTGTGATTACCAGAACATGTACCAAAAAATGTATGCATTTAATCTTGCCTATTTTCCTCTAGTCATAGTGTAATAATTATGTTTCCTGTGATTATGATAGTATTTTTAAGTTTTTTTTGGCATTGTCACACCACTGTTTGGTTGAGTTTTATTTTAGAAATATTCACGTGTAACAAATCCTTCTCCAGAAGGCTGACTCGTATTACCACTGTGCACTGCCAGTGCCAGTGATTTTGCTTTTTTATATATCATAGTTTAGCACTTTATATACTTTCTTTACATTTTTTATTTTCTTTTAAGTTCAAAATTTGATACATGTAAAAAATAAGACCATTTTGCATAGCAGAGATTTTTTTTTATTGTTATTACTGTTTCATATTTTTTTTTTATTGCGTTCAGTATAAAAATATTTTATTTTATGAGTTTATATTTTAATATTTTTTTAATGCCTTCCTAATGGAATTTGAATAATGTTCTTAAAACTCAAATATTCTTAAATCATAACATCCGATTCAAAAATTAATCCTTGAGACCTAAAGTTAATTGGCAAATTGGAATGTCCGTGCTGAAGTAATAATAGTATTAATATTTGTATATACATAAATGTCGTGACAATATATGCCTTTGCCTTGCTCAAATGCTCTGCACGAAATGGTTTTATGTGAAGTATGTAAATATTGAGCCACAAGCAAAATGTAAATAAGATCGATATATTAAGTATTTTGATTGGAAAAAAAATTATATTTTTATTGGGATTGAAAACTGAATTCTAAAAAATAATTGTTTTTGAGACGTCAGAGTAAAGCAAATACATTGTTGACTAATTTTAGAAGTATTAAATTAGGGTAAACAAGTAAGTCGTTTGTGCAATACATGACTTTATGTGATATTTTTTCTGTAGCAATATAGTGTTAAGTAATATTTTTGGTTGCGAGACGATTTATTAATAAAATGAAACCTAACCAAACCTTTATCTGTGTGAGCGTGGTGTGGCAGTCACAATCATGAAAAATGCTGAAAATGGATGTAATTCTGCAGTGCTACCAATGAGAGACGTGAACAAGCCAGGAAGGATCTCAAAGGGTTAGAAGACACCGTGGCCAAGGAGCTTCAGACTTTGCACAATTTGAGGAAATTATTTGTTCAAGATTTACAGGTAATTTATTTGTTTATTTATATATTTACTAGGAAATGTCCAAATATTCTAGAAGAAAAATCTTTGCATTTACCCATTCCCAAGCTGTTTGGAGATTAGTTTGGAGTATAGCAATTGTAGCACAGTATAATTCCTATTCCTCTTAAGTTTCTACAATAATTTTCTACTATTATTATTTAAGTACAATAATGAAACACATCAATAATAAAACCTAAGTACTTCTCATTTATTTATTTACACGGGTATACTTACTTTTAAATTATTGTTTTAATGTCACACAATTATGTAACTGAAGGCAAATGAGAAACGGGTAATTCAATTTTAGGCTCGTATGAAGAAAAATATGTCATCCGAAGACAACGAGGAGGATGGTGGATCACTCGCCCAAAAGCAGAAGATTTCATTCTTGGAGAATAACCTCGATCAACTTACCAAAGTTCACAAACAGCTTGTCAGGGATAACGCTGACTTACGTTGTGAATTGCCCAAGCTCGAAAAGCGTCTACGTGCCACAATGGAGCGTGTGAAGGCGTTAGAAACAGCGCTTAAGGAAGCCAAAGAAGGGGCTATGAGAGATCGCAAGAGGTACATCACTCACTTTATTTGCGTTGTGACACACCTGGTATAAAAATATTTATTTTAGATATCAATACGAGGTCGATCGTATCAAGGAAGCAGTAAGACAGAAGAACTTAGCTAGAAGAGGACCCGCCGCTACTATCGCGAAACCCATAAGGGCAGGACAACACCACACAGTTAACATTGCCACTGCCGGAATAAGGACCGGACCCAACAACTCTCCAAGACCTAATGATGAGGCTCAAAAGCGCAGATCCCTCATTGTTGGAGATAAAGGTGAGTTTTTACAAATTTCTCTTAAAACTGTAAACTTTTGGAAGTTGAATTTATTATTATTTGTTAATACTACATCTTTGTAATTAAATGCCTCACACTAAATTTTATTTAGCACTCTATTGAATGTGTTGTTTTAACTTTCGGTTCTCGTGAGTTTGTATACAGGGTGTTTGTAAATAGGTGCGAAATATTTTAGGGAGTGGTTGTTTTGTGAAAAAAAGTTCATAAATATAGATCGAAGTATGCTTCATTTCTGAGATACAGTGTTTAAATTTAAATTTTTTATTTATTTTTATTAATTACTTCAAAGGGTTTTAAGATATTGACTCGAAATTTGAAAAACGCTTTGGAGGGATAAATGTGCATTTTTTGGGGTGATCCGAATATTTCTACTTGCACCAGTGGCGTTCGTGCGAGAATGCCACAACTTTTTTTAATAAAAAAAAAAATGGTACGCCACTGACGTTTTCCCGTTTTGATATTTTTTAGAAATGCACTATCAATTCTGAATGAAATGGGTCTTTAATTTTTTTTTTTCATAGGATGCACAATTTTTGAGAAAAAAATTAAACATTTTATTGTAGGTTTTGTTATTCTCTAATTTAAAGGTGCAAGTAGAAATATTCAAATCGCCCCAAAAAATGCACATTTATCCCTGCAAAGCATTTTTCAAATTTCGAGTCAATATTTTTAAAACTCTTTAAAATAATTAATGAAAATAAATAAAAAATTAAAATTTAAACACTCTGTATCTCGGAAACGAAGTATATTTCAACTTATGCTTATATACTTTTAACTTTTATAACTTATAACTTTTTTTCACAAAATAACTTCGGCAACCACCCTCTAAAATATTTCGCACTTATTTACAAACACCCTGTATATTTCCTTGACAACAACGAACTTCAAAAAATCAAACAAAACAAACCAAGAATTTATTGGTCTCAGTTGATTTTACAATCGATGGATCAAACCTGAACTGCATCACAAATTTGCAATAGATTGCTGATGGCACATTATTATAAATTTGATGCAACTTTTAAATAAAGTTTTTCAAATTCCCATTAACTATATAAATAGTGATAGTCACAAATTGAGTTTTCAGAAAGTTGAGACTCGTATTTATTAAAAAAAAAAAACTTGGACAGCAATGAGAATCAAACAAAAGCTACAAAATGTGACAAGAAAATGTTTGGGTAGATGAGTTTGTTTATGATTTATTAATAATTCGTATTGTCTCCTTTGGCTTTAATAATGGCAACTAAGAATCTACAAAACTTGGGAATGAAAAGTTTCCAAGCCTGGATTTTTCTTTTGAGGTCAGGAATTGTGAGAGGATTGTTTCATAACCACTTTTCCATAATGTTTCAATGACAATTAGGTTGGGGCTGCTTGCCGGTCAACTTCAAGACTGTAATATCATTGTAAGTTAGATGATATGACAGAGGATGCACGGTTTTGCTGGAAAATTAAACTGTCACCAAATAATTATGATGCCGTGGGTAGTAAGTTACTGTCGATAATATTCCAATATTTATCTGCATTAACGTCGTTAATTAATTCTAATCTTTATATTTCCTTTGCCGACATCTCCATATCATGACTCCTTGTGAGAACTTCACATATGTTTTAAGCACTATTTATGGAAGGTTTCCTCTGCTGTTCGTATTATGCACTTACGAAAATTTCTAACACATAAATGGTGTCCCAAAATTCACACAAGAAGTTATTTTGATAGGAAACAGGATTTAGTCAAAAATTGTATAATTTTTATTGATTCATGAAGTATACAGTGTAGGGTTATTTATGTATGGAATAGTATATAGGGTAAATGGTCTCCATGGCTTTACTGGTATATACCTACAGACTCTTGTCGAAATTTTTCAAGACTGTTTTGCATAAGTGTGGCAAAATATCGTTTATACGGCACTCCTTCAAGACATGGGTGGTCGTGGTTTATTGACATAAACCATAGACTTCAGAAAACCCCAAAGAAAAATGTCCAACGGCGTTAAATTGCATGATCTGGGTGACCAATTCTGATCTCCAAAATGGGAAATTACGTGACCAAGAAATAACTGATGCACTCATTGAATTGAATTGTATCTCAGGCTGTATGGCATGTGGCATCGTCTTATTGAAACCACATGTCGTCTATGTCCATATCTTGCAATTTAATAAACAAAAAAACGATTATCATGTCAAGATAGTGAGCACCATTAACTGTTATTGCCTGACCAGCCGCATTTTCGAAGAAAAATGGTCCGATGATGTCTCTAGCTTAAAACTCGCACCATTTGTTTCTCAAAACACACTTGTGGATTTTCTGAACCCCAAATGCGACAATTTTATCGTTTAACAAAGCCATTAAGATGAAAATGATCCTCATCGCTGAAGATGATTTTGTTCGAAAAATCAGCATTCACTTGTTCATAATCCATTCAACGAACTCTATTCGCTCTGGGTGGTAGGCTTCAGGTCTTGAGTCAACTGAACTTTATAAGCATGAAGCTGCAAATCTTTTATCTGTAAATAACTTCTCGAAATGTCCAATTGTGGATTTTGACGTATTCACATTGTCAATATTTTTTATCGATTTTCCTTGCTGATATTCTTGAATTATCATTTCAAAACACTTATTTGGAAGTGCTAAGCCGCACGTCAAGGTTTTGTAAAATAATTGTTGCGGAAACTTCATAAACACTAATACACAAAATCCACAACAGTGGATATTATTACTTTTAGTATCTGCCTGGTTTTTGAGGCAAAAAGTGCTGCACCTGAACATTTAGTTGTCAGCAAATTAAGCATAATATTGCTGTGAAAGATTGATGAGAACAAATTTATTTGTAAAATAGTCATCGAAATGTTATATAAAATGGTTATAAAATGAAGACGCTAATGTAGAATACGTTAATGCCAAAATTAACGCTCGTCCGAACATTGAGTTGATAGGGCTTTTATTTCCCTTGATATTAAAGCAAACCAGTGCTAAATGAATTTCAGGAATTCTGTTAGCATTTTTTAAATATTTGTGAGTGCCTATATATCATACATTTCATTATATTTTGTATTTTGCTCGGGTTTAAGATCATTAAAACTTATGTTACTTGGATATAATTTTAAAATAGGTTTCACAATAATTCAAATATGATAAATTGAAAAAGTTTTTTGGTGAACTTCTAGTGGGTCTTGTTAACATTAATCCAATGTCATCCAAATGTACATAGAATATCTTTCTTAATAGAAATATTTAGAAATATGCAGTTCAGTAACTAATCATCTTCCAATATTTAATATCTACATGGTGTCTCCAAATCATTTTCACCGCATATATCAATAAAAACAGTTAAATTGAAATTTGATACTTCGAGATATAGTTCCGCTTGATTACAAAGTAATTTCTACCATGTTTTTGTCTCTAAGATTTACTGGTAGACACTTTCTATATAAAGTCCCAACTATTACAAATGACATTGCGGTGTATGTGTAAAGCACAAGATGTGAAAAGGGTCCACTTAAATGAATATGATGTGAGGCTGTTGCACCATTAGAAATTTCATACAGTAAAACATTATTAGCTTAATGTTTTCATGTTTTTTCATTTGTAGTATATATCTGTATATTGTGTTTTATATTACTTTTATGATATAATGTATTGTATAAACGTGTATTTTCATATTTCTATATTTATAACTTGTTAGGTAAACCAGCTTCTTCCTAAAAGTCACATTTTTCACCATTTGAATAGTTTCCCTACAGCAAGCAAATATAAATTATGAAGAAAAACATTTTTCTATGTGAGCCTAAAAATCAGCTCCTAAAAAAGTAGGTATCAACCCCACGCCTCATTATTAAAATATGACTACCTCAATTTTTGCGAGTCGTCACTGCTGCTCATATTAGATGCTAGAAATCTATTAGATTTATGTATGGAGACTTCATAAATGATTACGAACCACATGACCAGTAATTTCATTTCCATCATGTTGGCAATTAAATTTCAGTAAAATTACTAAGACAATAAGATCAAGATTATATTAAAACACCGGCTGTGATTGGAGTAATTTTTCACGAAATTCTATTCAGCTAATCAGAGATCGCATTATCTCGAGCATAGACATAACAGTTTGTCACTGTTCATAATAAACGAATTGGTAACGCCAAAATTTAATGTTGGTTGCCGAAGCTCAGCGACCACGTGGCTTGTAAACATTTATGAAGGCTCTGTATTTCATAAACTGCGCTGTATCTTTTTGAATTCTAAATATAAAGTCAACTAGATACAGTAAGAAAAATACAAGCATCATTTTCTAACAGCACTGACTTTCTTTCATAAAATGAAAAATTAAAAAGTTTTCCCTCTATTCAACTTCATTTGTATACACTGTACAGGCTGTTACAAATTCGCTTCTCACTACAGGAATCTCGGAAACGGTAAGAGGTACGAAGTAGCTTAAATAGGGGCAAAGTTGCGTAATCAGGGGACCAACATTATGCCTAAAAAATCAAGGCTAACATGATTAGTTTTCGAAATATTTGAAAAAAAAACGAAATTTTGGAAATCCGTATTTGTTTAATTTCAGCCTTGTTTGAGGAGATATTGAAAAAAGAAGAACACTTTCTCATGGCCACTTTTTGCCCTCTATCGAATGGCATAACCAATTTTTATATGTAATGTTTTGTCTCTCCTGGACCATCATCAACTTCATTATTTTAAATACGACCCTGAAAATTTTAGCCTTGATTTTTTAGAGGCTTAATGTTGGTCTCCTGATTACGCAACTTTGCCCCCATTTAAGCTACTTCGGACCTCTTACCGTTTCCGAGATCCCTGTAGTGAGAAGCAAATTTGTAACAGCCTGTATATTTCATTTTAGTGGGCTTTGATTGGAGTTTTAGTTTGTATTTTAAACTGTAAAACATTTTTCTAATCATATCAAAATTTTGTTTTTCCTTTAATGTAATTGAAAAGGATGATGATGATGATGATGATGGTGTATTCTGTTTCAGATTGAACAGCCAGCCACCTTTTATCTGGTGCTTCAGAAATGTAGTAAGCAAAATAAATCGTAATACCAAAAATATTGCCGATACATCTATAATATGGAGGCAAGTTTGTCATACAAAATTAAAAATCACAAAATTTTGTATGATTAGACTTGTAATTTATGTGCTTACAGCTTAGTTATTTATAGATTAAGGTGCACTTAAAAGAATAATAAGATAATAAAAAAAAATAAAGACGTAAGCAAATTGTTTCTTGAGGTGTATGTTTGCAAAATTGTTTTATACGAAAAGGTGTCTTGCAGTGCAAGGAATAATTTGTCGAAATTTGTCACCGTTTTAAGCTATAACTGCGCAGACATAATCAATTCGACATAAAAATCTCCACTTTGTAACGATTTGCTTATTATTGTTGTTTAAATAATACTTACTACCATTGTGCAAGAACGGTGTTTCCTTCTAGTTTAGTTGATTATCGTTTTATAAAAACACTGTAGGAATTTATTTTTTTAATGGAGGTACTAAATATAGTAGGTGTTTTATAGTTTGGCACTCTAGTAACGGTACTTTTATTTATAGTTTAATTCTAGCTAATTCTTTTCCATTGAAATTTGTACAAGTAATTTTATTTCTATTTTGAATTCAAAATTTTTTATAATTGTGATTGTTTGATAAATATTATTTTAAAATTAATTGCTTTATTAAACATTATCGTGTTTTACTGTTTTGATTTTTTTCTTCATGTATTCAGAGGGCTAGCTTGACTGGCATAAGCTAAGAGCACCTCTGAATTTAAAACATCTCATTTCCTGGCACAAGAATGATGTGCAATTTTAGGAAATAACAGTACTTTAGTTATTGTGATAAAAATGACATAATTTTTTATTACTTGGTCTTACTTGCCTTGTTTTTAATTTATTTTAAAGGGTAACTGTCATGAACAGAACTGGTGCACAACTACGTTTTCCATGAAGCATTTTATTTAATAGTAATTTTATTTATCTGAGGATCATTTTCATTTCCATAGCCCAATCCTTTTTATAGCAAATTCTATGTAGTTGTATAATTACATATTTATTAGTGGATGCTTGAATCATGATGCAATTTATTTATTTAACTGATGAAAATTATATTCTAATAAACTAATTAAAATTTGATTTAGCGTTTTTGTACATCCCCCCATTGCACCTTTTTTACCCTTTTTGCTGTAATCACAAAATAGTACTTAAGTGGTTATTTATATGCCCCAAATTGCATATAGGCCAACCGATAGAGACTTTTTGGCACACTTAAATATTACAGCAAATTTCATATATTACCTTTTGAAAAATACTTAGCAAATGAAAACCCAAGTGAATTTTTTTTTAGACAATAAAAACTGGAAAAAATTACGTTTTTTTTTATATCTCAAAAAAAAATGATGAAATCGTCTTACTCTCAATAGGACTTTTGTAGCGCATAAAAAACCTATAAAATAGTTTTTTGTGCGACCCGATCGGTTCATTTTTTACAGAGAAAATCCGGAAAAACCTCTAAAATAGACATTTTTTCAAAAATTCATCAGTCAAATTTGAAATAACAGATAATAATATGTAGTTTAATATGCACAAGATGGTTTCTGTCCAATGCATAGTTTTTGCATAATTGCATTATAAACAGATTAGGGTCTCTTTTTGCACAGGGTGGCAATTTATCAAAAATGGTCCAATTTAAATTCTGAAAACGGCTTCTGAAACTAAACGACAAAATGTCCAATTTGTATATCTCGGATTTTCGTCTGGGTGATGGGAAATGTGCTAAAAATGCTCTTGAAGTCGCCCAAAACGAGTGAAAATACACTCGAGCCAGAGTTGGGTAGTGGTAGTGGGGGAAGCAGCAAGCAGAGGAGAGTATACGCTTTTGGGTTGATTGCTATTTAATTTGGCTCGGAGCAGTTTTGCAAAGTAAATGTATACTATACACAATACAGGGCAATTCTAAAATATGTAGTCAAACAGAAACAAGAGGTCAAAATAGACTGGTTAAACTAATTTACCTAGATACCAAAATGCACCCTAATGAGTTACAGCCCCTTAAAGTTAAAACATAAAAAAGTAAAAATACAAATTTCTCCTAAATGTCTGAAGATATTTTTTTCAAATTTGGCATACGACCAATGCTAATAAATAGCCATGTTTTCAAGTGAATATCAATGCATTGACGGCGTGGGGGTAATGTAGGGGTAGTCGCTCTTTGTTTCACCCTGTATTTTTTATACTGCATATGTTGATGGCATGTGCAGCATCATTGGACAGATAATTTAATTTTAAAATGTTTTTGCTCTTGAAATTTCTTGATACGACAAATATTAAACGCGATAATTTGATTGTATCAACTATTTTAAAGTAAAAAAAATATGAATTACAAATAAGGTACTATTAAATGCATCAATTCTAATTATTAGGAATTAATTAAATTAATAATATTAAATGACAATTTTAACAAAATTTAGTATTTAAAAAAATACTAATTACTTAAATATTATTCTCAAAATGCCTGCCTCCTGCCTGAAGGTAAGCACGAAGTCTTCGTCTAAAATTGTACTTCAGTCGATTCAAAATTTAAATGTTATTGCGAAGTTCATTTACTGCATTTTGCACACGAACCCCGAGGTTTTAAAATTATGTACTGATGTAGAATAAACTAGGCCTTTAAGGTGACTCCAAAGGTAAAAATCACACGGATTAAGATAAAGAGAGAGCAGCGGCCAAGCAATTGGTGCATTTTGGCGACGACTTGTCCATCTTCTGGGAAAATTTTGGCTGTGGCACCATCATGCATAAACCACATATTTTGCCTGCAGTGGAACTTCATCAAGATCATTTAAATTGTTTTCTAAAAAATTGAGATAATTTTGCCCTTCTAGGCGACGCGGCATAATGTGGGGTCCTACAAGGTAATGTCCTATACTTAATACATATCCAGACATTTATGTGGCACACGACGATTTGGAAATTTGTCCGTATACCGTCTAACTGCTTCCCTCGAATTACCGTGACATTCGCCTAAAGTGAGCAACATATCAGTCTGTTCGCCAAAAATAAAATTCGCAGTTAATAAGCTTGTTTTAAGCAACCTATTTGAAAAATACTTAATAAAATTATACTAAATAAGTGTCGCAACGGAAAACTGTAAATTCCTCTTGAAAAAAGAAACATTATTTTCCTCTTCCATTTTTCTCTCTGGGCTTTCGTTTTCGAGATACACGGTGTCAAAACTTTAATTTTTTTTTTTAGTTTTTGTACACACCTTACCACTATTAGTAGCTTCTTTTTCGCACCCTTCTCGAATTCATTGGACATGCCAGTAGTGGAGATTTTAAGGTATCGTAAGAATTTTTCCCCCCAAACTTTTACGCCACTGGAAAAATTGACATTTGACAGAAAATTCTGAAGTGTCGATGAATTTTACACAAAAAGAGATTTCTTGGTTCATTGCTCTAAAGTCGGCCTTTTCAAGAAAAATTACTTTTTATGAAAAACAAACATTTTGCTAACGTTTCGAAAATCTTTTGTAATTCAAAAAATAGGTTGTAATGATTAACAATTTTAACGAAATTAAGAACAGACAGGATTTTAACTTAAATATCACTAGCGACTAAATTTTACAAAAACTTCAAAATTATATCCATTGGCTTGAATACACGCATTACATCTTCGGATCATGTTTCTAAGAACGTTCTTTGTAATTTGAAGGGTATTTCTAATTTGTTCCGCTGTGGTTTCAACCCTAGTGGTCAATTCTTAGACTGTATTGACAGGGGTTTCATAGACAATGCTCTTCATGTGACCCCATAAGAAATAATCAAGTGGGCATAAATCCTGCGACCATGTATCTCGAAAACGAAAGCCCAGAGAGAAAAATGGAAGAGGAAAATAATGTTTCTTTTTTCAAGAGGAATTTACAGTTTTTCATTGCGACACTTAATTATGAACACCCTATATGTGGTGTGTTTAATCCGATCCAATAATCTTGTTTAATATTAGTTGTAACAAAATATTTCAAGAGAAAAAAATGTTTTAAAATTAAATTATCTGTCCAATGATGCTGCACAAGCCATAAAAATATGGAGTATAAAAAAATACAGGTTGAAAAAGACTACCCCTACATTACCCCCATGCCGTCAATGCATTTTATTGATATTCGTTCAAAACATATTTATTAGCATTGGTTGTGTACCAAATTAGAAAAAAATATCTTCAGACATTTAAGAAAATTTGAATTTTTACTATTTTTTGTTTCAACTTCAAGGGGCTGTAACTTGTTAGGGGTGCATTTTGGTATATAGGAAAATTAGTTCAACCAGTCTATTTTGACCTCTAGTTTCTGCCCTATAAAGTTGGCTACATATCTTAGAATCACCCTGTAGAGCTAGAAACTTTAAAAGGTAGCTAGATGGACTATAAACTTAATTGACTAAATTATTATACGTTCAGTTTTATTTCAATAAGGCGACTCTTTAAATGAGAAAGAGAAACCAAAAATTATCGTTAATCAAAATTGTTTTATTGTACAAAATATTACACAGAATTTAATATCGAATAACCTGTATTTAACTAAACAATACTCGCATATTTACATAGTCAGTAACTCTGCTAAATACTCGACTACTAAAAAAATGATTAAAGTATATAATATGTACTACATCATTATACATGACATTATAAGCGAAATTATTATGCAATATAAAAAATAACTCAGTTATTACGAATACCCAAGGCTTGCTCAAGTTCTGCTCTCTTCTGTTGCACTTTAGTGTAGAAGTATCTGCATACCGCTTCTTGCGCCCAAGGCTGATAAAAGAAGTCGGACCTTCTTTCTTCCTCAGGATTTCCCACAACGTCAGTCATAGTCTAAAAAATTTGTATATTTTATTGCATGCAAAATAAATCTTGAGAAAAAAAAGCAAAAGGTGTCAAAATAAACTTTAAGAAAAGTTGACAAGTATTCACCGACTTGATCTTTCACCCATCCATAATAGGCTGAAGTGCCTAAACGACAAAAAAAAATACTTGAAGACGCACCCAAGCATGACATTCATTTTGAGGTTTTATTGACGTTTATCTCTAACTTTGTCTAAACATCGGATATACTTCAAAAATGAAAATTTTCCGTAGAAAATGACAGAAAAGCCCAACAAAAATGTCTACTGTGAAGCAAGCGATGGAAATTTTGAGAAAATCAACAATCAGATCACAAACGAACTTATTACAAGATTTATTGGAAATTCATTTAATAGCTCGGCCTTTTTTTTATTTGAAAAAAAAAAAACATTTAGTTTCACAATTTTTATTATGAAAATTAGAAAACTAATTTTATAGGTACCAACCCCGAGAAAAAATTCCACTGAAATAAGTGTTTTTATTTTTCATGTGGAATCGACAAATAATTAAGAAATCAGTCATTTTCCTTAAAAAATCCATAGGATCAGAAAGTATTTTTAGAAAAAGATGTTGGCGCTTCCCGTGCCCTTATTACAACGTTTATCAAATTTAATTATACCTTATGTTGGTACTCAGATATTAACGAAAAAGTAAGTAGACTTAAATCAAATTGTTCTCAGGGATCTGTGATTGTGTTATGATCACTATTTCCTGGGACACCATGTAGTCGAAAACTTGACAGTTGCTTTATTTAGAGGACTAAAATTTTGTTTTTTTTTTACAAAAGCTGATGCTTTGTTTGATTCCCTCTAGTGGCTAAACTAGCCAATTTTAGACTAAGGTAAGTTTAATTAAATCATCTTACCATGACTTCAAGAATCTAAAATAGTTTGACGTACATGGAGAATATGGACACCCTGTACAAATTAATAATTATCCAATCCAATTACTCACCTTTAGATCTCTGGTTTGAGACACTATCCATTTATGAATAAATTGTTGAGGATCTTTTGCAAAACTAAGGAAAAATTCTCTGTTAGTTTTAAGTTGATTTATTGTGTCAACTGTTTCATGAATTTTAGAATCCAATCCTTGAATTTCTTGTTGGCTAGCAGTACTTAAGAGGAAATTGTTCATTTGAGTTTTTAAAGTATCGTCCACCTAAAATGTTTGATGAGAATTCAAATATAACCTTTTTTAACGTACAGGATACATTAAAAAAATATATTGCTTTCAGGATTATAAAATAATATATACCTCTACGTCTATATCGTAGCAAGCTGTCTGCTTGCTTTCAGCTCCCCCTTCTACAGATATGACATGATTAATAACAATTGGATCTGGAGGATGAAGCAATGGATTCAACCTTTGAGGAATTTCAGCAAATTTCATACGAGTACAATTAAATATTTGCTCTAAGTATTTGTCACATACTATGTATTCACGCTCATGAGCATCTTGTAGTCTATAAGAAAAACAATTAAATAGTAAAAAGTATCCGGAATTCGTCATTGAAAAATTCAGCATACAGTAGATTTAAATTTATTTTTTAATGGAAAGTTGGTAGCACTATACTCTATACTTAAGTGAAGTTTGAGTACGATCTTCAAGTAGTTTGTTTACAGCTGTTAATTTTCTTGGTCTACCTAAAGTGTCTCTTGAAACATTGAAAACTCATAAACCAACTTAACAACCAGCCCAGAAATTATTGAACTGTTGACAACGTGCAACAAAAGAAGAGAAAATATATTTTCTAAGGAATGAACAGCAATAACTTATAATAATAATCTAAGCAGTTGAAGTGACTGTATCTTACCTATGCGTTTTTATGTACTGCCATAATGCAGAAATGATAACAGGCCTGGTTTGAGTATGTACTCCTAAAAGTCGGGCCAATCTGGGATCTAATTTAAATTGTAGTGGTTGATAATCAAGTAAAAGCAGTATTGTGCATCGTACATTTTTATCGCCAGGGCGTTTAACCTACAAAAGTAAATAACAGTTCTAATTGTTTCAATTAAAACTTAAAGAATCTCACTTGAAATCCATCAGTTTCCTGGGTTGTAAGAGTGCGGTGCCATTCAACTAAATGATTGTCGGGTCCATACAGTTCCTTATCAAGTTCAATAACCAGTGATTTGAAAAATGATGAGAATTTACGTTTTACTTTATTGGGGTCATTTTTAGAATCATCAAGCAATCTCCCTTCTACCCGTAACTCCCATGAAGCGACTGATCTGCAAACAAAAGTAACAATACAACATTGTAAATGCTTTTATAAAAAATATATATTTTTTCATCAGCTCTTGACATTTTTAGATTATTTTAGGATAATACAGGGTTCATAGTTCAAAAGTAATATAGAATTCCCTGACTTTTCTAGATTTTCCTTGACATAAAAAAAAATCCAGGTCACTTGTAGTTCATTTTAATGTACTAATTGATGTTTACACATTAAACTTTTTCTAGACTGGGCTTCATAATATTTTTTATAAGCAAAGTACAAAAGATAAAGGTTTCAAAACCGCAAACAGTTTTCTCTTTTAAGAACCCATGGCCTGCTTTCACAAAATTTCCAGTAATAAACGTGAAATTCCCTGACTTTCATGAATACTTTTAAAATTCCCTGACTGTTCCCTGTTTTTTTATGAAGAATAATGAATTCCCTGACTTTTCCCGGTATTCCCGGTTTTTTAGGCTGCTACGAACCCTGTAGTAGCTCAATAAAGCTAATTCACATATACTCAATTTCTCCTAACAATTCTATCACACTAAATCAGACACTGTTCTGCAATACCAAAAAAAGGTATGGAAAAGCCATCTAAAATCATGGACAAGATTCTTATCTGATGATACTGCGAAAAGAACTATTCTATGAAATATATTGCATCAACCAGCATTGATTTACATCAGCAACATCTAGTAAAGAGCTAGTAATTAATAATTTTATTAAAAAAAATAAAAATATTATTCATACAAAAACACATAAGTACCTGATGTATTGCCACTGTAAATGTAATCTTTCAAAGAAATATTTTGTATGCTTGTTTTAAAATCACTCCTGATAAAGACTATCAAGTAAAAATAGCCACAATCAAAAGATCTTACTTTTTTACATTTTACTTATAATCGCTTTTTCAAGTGAGCTCCTTGCAAATGGGAATAATAAATATTAACAGAACAAAAACATACAAACATGCAAATTTCATGTATTACCTTTTGAACCCAAGTGATTTCCCCAGCAAAGTCGTGAACAATTTTTTTTAAACAATAAAAACTGCAAAAAAATGACATTTTGTTTTTTTTTACAATATCTCGAAAAATAATGATGGAATGGTCTTACTCTCAATAAAAATGTTTTTTTGTGTAGTTATATTATACTGTGTTTTCGTACACATTTCTCAAGTTTGTCCCATAAATTCTCAATGGGATTAAGATATGGACATTGAGGAGTTGTAGCACGGATATGGGGTATATTCAACGCGGTCCACTGACCTATTATGTAAGAGGTATGCTTTGGGTCGTTGTCCTATTGGAAATAGTAATAAATGTTCACTCTAAGCCAATTGGCGCTTTCTTTAAGTTTTCCTTCAGAATGCTTAAGTACACAGGTTTATCCATTATACCCTCTACTATTACTAATTTTCCAATACCTCTGCCGGACATACAGCAAATTGATTGCAAATTCTTTCTCCATATGTGTATTTGTCCGACGGATCCGAATATATTAAATTTCGAATCATTGGAGAAAATGACTATTCCAGAAAGCAAGATTTTCGATTATATACTGTTTTGCAAAATCTAAACATTTCTTTCTATTTGTAGCATTAATGTATGGCTTATTACGGGCCATGCACGATTTCAGCTAAGCACATTTAAGTACTCTGCAAATCGTATCTGGACTAACTTTTTTATTAAGGCTTCTTGTACTTCGTTAATTATTGCTGGTACATTTAATTCTGAAATATTTCCAATAAGTCTTAAGTTTTTCCTATTCTCTCTAACAGTAAGTAGTTTCGGATGGCTGTTTTTACATGTTGTTTTCCTTATCAAATCGTTTGAACGGCTTCGGTTGACAACTTTTGCTATTTTTGATAATAATTTCTATTGGCTGCGTAATTTTAATATTATATTTTTTCTGGCAATTGTTGTTTCTTTTCCTTTCTGTCCAGACATAACAAAAAATGTTACTCGTACGCACGTAAACTGTGAACTGAACTGTTTCGAGAGTCCTGAATGTAAGAAGATGTCCGTCAGCGTATCCATGCCGGCAGTGGCCGGTTAAATTTAGCTGCGACTAATTACTGGTTACTGAAAAAGGTGCTTTATAAATACTTTTGCAGTATACCTTCTTGATCGTTTCAACTATTATTGAATAAATTTCCTACCAGCTACTTAACTCACTAAGCATAGTTTACATGATAACAGATCATTGTACCACCGCATGCTCTCCTGAATGAATACTTTTGCTGGCTACTGTTTAAATATTGTACGAACTGTACTTTATTTCGGATGAAATTTCAAACTGATGGCAAATATCACTGCCCAACTTAAGAGACAGAAAATTTCCAAATTTACCAGTCAACGTACTACAGTAACATAAAAGTAACTAAAGTGACACCGAAACGATCAAACTCCCCCGAGTGTTGACAAAATCTCCATTAAGTATAAAACTTCACCTGTAATTGAGACCTGAGCATAACTTGTGTAAGTATGATATTGACTATAGGTGTGGGCATAAATAATATAATCTTTCAAAGAGTGATGTTAGAACAAAAATACAATATACTTTTTTTAACATTGCATTATTTAACAATTTCAATATGTCACTTATGTATTTTTATATAATTTAGACATCATTTTCAATTATTTTAGAAAATTATTAATTACTGTTTACTAGTGGTGGGAAGATCGGCATCATACGTATAAATCATACGGATCTCTAGTGGGAATCGATTCATGCGGATCCCGATGCAATAATAATTTCGTATGTTTCGCATCACCGCATCAATGTAAGTTGAGACTGAAGTGAAGTGAATCGGTATCAACTGATTCTCGTATGCGATACAGGAATGAGTAAATGGGAGGCGCACGCATACTGGGAATCAGTTCATACGTATACCGGTATAAAAATAATTTCGTATGTTCGCATCACAGCATCAATGCGAATTGGGAATGAATCGGTCTCAACACTCTCAACTGATTCTCGTGTCCGATACAGGTCGATGAGATACGATGCATTAGAAACAGTTTAGTGCAAAGGAAACTAAATATTGAAATAAATTATATGAAATTGTGTAGTCTGAAACAAACTTATAATGTAAAAAGTAATTGTCAGAGTGATGTGTATTTCGTATTTAAATGTTGAATCGCTTGACCGAAAATAAATTTAAACATTAATTAATTTGAAAATAATTTGATGCTCAACTTGAGTTCAAATATATTATTGCTTCGTTTCTACTTAAGTTCATCGTTCTGCTAAAAAATGAATTTATAGATGATTGCAAAAAATTTAACGGGAATGAGTGAGCGACAAGCCCACACATTTACAAAATGTACAAGTACAAACTGTACTTGTACATCCACAGTGAATACGATTCCCTGATGCGGATATTTTGATGCGGATCTTTATGTCGATACATTTCGCATCATGCGGATCATTAAAAAGATCCGTATTGCCCATCTCTACTGTTTACTAGATATTGCTGGTATAATTCAAGATAGTTGGGGCATATAGCCCAGAATAATTATTGTTTCCCACAATATTATCAACTAAGAATCTTGTTTGGGGTTAGATCCTATGTAGACCTAGGTTTTTGGTATTGAATTTGAATGAATTATGTGAATTGGCTTACCCCTCTTGTCCAGGACCTTCAGGACCATCAGCTTGTGGCTCTTTTGCAGGAAAAAATGTATTAGAAATAAAAATTCTTAATTTTCTTTTTTGCTTCATTGGACGTTTCAGTGCTTCTTGAATGTCAAGACGTTTACGCATTATAGTAGAATCAAGTTTTCTTTCAAAAGCTAAAAGATCCATATAGGCTTGACTTTCTGGTACTAAATCTCGTACTTTTTGGGGTAGAATCTTATCAGCCAATTTCTTCTTTTTCTTACTTGTTCCGTGTCCATAATCACTAAACATTTAAAAGTGAATCCAGATTTTAATAAATGTGGTATTTTATTAGAACTTACGGTTTTTGTTGCATAGGTCCTCGATTATCAGCCGGCCGTTTCCCTCCAGACGGTTGTGGCATTGGTCCACCCCTCATTGGCGAGTAAGGAGTACCACTGGGTCTTTGTATCATTGTTCCTCCACTCGAAGTCATGTTTGGAGGTGGTGGATTATAGCCAGGTCTTTGCTATGGTATAGAAGAGGTTAATGTCAATATTAAATTATTTTCTCAATTTTTATAAATACCGGAAAAGTTTGTTGTCCATACTGCCGCATTCCAGGATTTTGAGGTTGTTGATATCTTTGTTGAGGGGGTACGCCGGGCCCTTGAGTAGGCACTGGGCCCGAAAATCTCTGGGCCATTTATATTTTTTATGATATTTGATTACCGTGTTATAAGTAATTTTTTAATGCGATTTATTTCTAAAATTGAAACAGTGATATCAAGACAATCACAATACACATAAGTTCAAAACACAAAAATACAGATTATTGTATTGTAGTATTGTAGTGTACAGGAGGAAACAGTACAATCACAAACTTATAAACAGAAAACACTGAAAACAGAATACAGAAACAAACGTCACAGCTTAATACAGCTGGAAGAGTCCGTGTCGGCGCCTTTGATATGGCGGTCGAGAACCAAGCGAGACGGAATTGTGCTAACTCTCTCAGATTAAGCGGAATAGTCGGGGCTGGATTAAAATAATTTTTATTACTGAAATAATATATTTAGTTTCTACCTGACAGTACCGTAGTAGGTAATTTTAATAATATGGAATTTGAATTAGAATATTCAGTAATTTTTTTAACTGTTAAAACAACAAAAAAGAGTCAATTTCATAATCAGAAATGGTTTCTTTTAAAATCAATGTCGTGCGATTATCCTAGGTCACCTGACTTCGGGCCAATAACCGAATAGGCTTTTGCTGTTCATGTTGGAACAGTTACAAGGCACAGAAAGTCGGTTTTGGCTCCAACCATAGTATAGTGTCAAATATGTATATGATGTACACGCGACCGCAGTATAGAAAACAGTAAATTCACTGCCTATCTAACCCTTGGAACATATACTTTATACTACTATGCTCTAAGATCTAACCTATTTATACAAAATTGACCTTAGTTTCATTTTTTATGTCGCTATAAGTGACTGCGCAGAGACCACGTGCAAGTAGGGGAACCTCAAAAGCTGAAAGCTACTTGTTGGTGGACTAGGGGCTGGGCGCTGGGCTTGCTATTGCGCATAGACCACACGTCCCTTAACTGGACCTTTAGATTAGACCAGTGGGCGGGTTGTGGTCCACAAGAGAGGGGAAGTTAATTTACTGTTATTTGTACTGTGACGCGACATAGAGATCGGTACCACAACGCCTATTTTGACGGGTTCCCGTACTATAATGGAACGAGCTTCGCCTTAGAGCATATACTATATGGAGGAAACACCACATGTAAAAAAATGTAGACATTGTAGGAAGAAAGCCGATACTTTGGGTAGTTAATTTGTTTCTCTCTAATCATTGTGTAAGTGTAAGGAAATGCGTTAGCCAATCACGTGCCTGAGCGAGAGAGAAAGATGCCGATCTAACTATATGTCTCTTTCTCTGCCACTGGTCTACATTGTCGCCCTATAAGCATGCTTCCTCCATGTAGTATACGCTCTTTCTTTTAAAATAACCATGAGTAAATTTTTATTTTAACTGGTAGGGAGATTCTCCATATTAACTGCAATGAAATTTTGAATGAAAAAGTAGGTGACTAGATTACTCATTAGTTAAAATAAATTTACATAAAATTGAATAAACCAAAAATAACCCCAAAACTATTTATTTCACACACAGTTGGTACAAATTAAATTTTAAATACCTATAGGTAGGGATGGGCAGATTTAATGAAAAACATCGATGTTGTGTTATATCGATTTTCAAATAATTTATTATCGATTCTCGATATATCGGAGTAAAACATCGATTTTTTTCGAATATCGAAAAAAAACAACCCTAGACTAGTACAACATTTTTTAATTCAAGATATTTAAAAAATATAATAAATAAGTACCGAATTCTAAAAAAATTATAATAATACATTTTGATTTGTTCAGTTACGAGTGTTATTAGTGCAATAATTTTGTTTTCTATGATCTGAACCCAACTAGTTTCGAAAGATTGAGGTCTGTTACATACAAAACAAAATTATTTTCTATTTACATCATTATTACTTACCATAACCAATACAAAATGATCAGCGAAGGATTGATTATTTGTAAAAATTTAGTAAGTAAAGAAAGAAATCTAAAAAATTTACAAGTACCTACCATAGTACCAACTCGACATTCTTTTCTTGAATCCTCACGAACACTGAACATTGAACATCACAAAATTAGACAATTTTAATTTTCCACAGATCACTAACGCAAACGGTTCTGTGCTATAAACCACAAACAAAAAAATCAAAATCACACAGATTTGTAGATTATTATTTCTTTTGTATTGTTGTATTGAAATTGAAGACAACTAAATTGGATTAAAACTAAATATTTATCCAAAATTTTGTTCTGAATATTAAACGATATTTCTAGAGGTAATATCGATATCCTTCGATATATCGCTTTCAAAAAAAATCGATTGTTTTGCATCGATAACTACCTCCTAATATCGATGTTTAAAAAGTATCGATGTTTTTCGCCCATCCCTACCTATAGGGGATAATTATCCTCTAAAAATCTTAAAATGATATGCTTTTTTTTAGCTTTAAGAATACATTATATTTAAAAATGGAGTTATTTTCGATTTAATCAATTACCTATGTGACTTTATATTTAAAAAATGGCTTATTTTTTGGATAAAAGGAGAATTTTTTTTAGAAACACCAGCTGAAATTAAATACACTTATACAATTTTCAAAATATTCAGTAGTCGAAATTCGAAATACTGAGGTTCATAAATAGTACAGATCTCAGTATCTGCACTGGTTGACAGATTTATATATCATATATCAACTTTGGGAATTTATGCCCACATTATCTCTAGTTTATGCCCAGACCTCTAGTTTTATTACTCTACATATGTCAAACATTAAGATATATTGAAATAATAAATGTGATTTCTTTTTAATTTCTAAACTCTTGTTAGGTAGGTACTGTTTATATGATGAATTATTTTTGTCATACTAAAACTAAAAAGAACAAATTTTAAGTAATTAATCCTTTGTGCCAAAAAAATCAGTTAAAGGGTTGATTTTATAAATTTATTGTTGTCCACTGAAAAAGTAGATAATTCGTTATGACTACATAATAACCATTATTACACAATACACAATTTATTTTTCAAAAAACTTTTTTTATTTTAATTGTTTATCATTACTTTTTATGGTTTAATCTACGTTTCTATTTATCCTAGCTCCTCCTTCCTAGCAAATTTTATTATTTTTGTATTATTATTTTTAACCTACCCCACCTAACAACATTTTTACAAAATCTCATGGTGCTGGTCATTAAGCTAGGGGAAAAAAATTACAAAATCAAATTGTCAGAGCGTTTGTCTTTTCCTACAGAAAAACATTTTGAAGCGATAACATTTAATATGGTGCATTATTTCATATAATTTGAACGCACACAACTAAAACACAATTTTTTGTAAAATGTTTATTAAAAATTAAATACAATATTTCTTTGTCTACTATTAACTGTAGCAGCACAATGTTTACTCATTATGTAATTTTTTTATACATTTTAAAAATCAATAACAATTATCAATAATATCTTTGGCATTTGTAAATTTTTTATACAAAAATTTGCATTACTTAGAATTTATATTTTTGTACAAATAGTATTACTCAATAAGTTGCTTTGAATTATTATGACTACTCTTCTGCCTTCGGAATATTTGAGCTATAACTTTAATGTTTTTTTATTTACGACAATAGAGGCAATTCTCCAAAGAACCGCAATATCCAGTGGAAAAAATTATATAGCTTTACTATCAATAATAATAACACTACAATTGTAACTTTCTATTCTATTAAAAAGTATATAAAATATTTGGTATTTTTGGATTAAGAAAGATGTAAAAGAATTTTTAATATAAAGGATATATTTTTGCAAACTATCTATGTATATTTAAATAAACTACATTGGTTACAAAACAAAAACATTAAAACATACATTTTCAGAAGGTATTGCACGCTTTATACATATATTCTTGTGATTAACTGATATTGCATAAATTATCATAAGTATCTTTATAAAATTATCAAAAACAGCCCGATTTATAAAAGCTTAAATATGATGTTGAAAAATTAGTTTTAAACAATTTTTTTATTTCAGGGACATGTAAAATAAATTACAACCTTAAAGTGTATTTTAAATTTGTTAAAGATATGCTCTTGGATAAACTAAATTAAAAAAAATGTATTATGTAACGTTTTATTATTAACATTAAAATCCAAAGGATTTGTTTCTGATACATCAAGACAGGAGAAATTCCTTTCAACAAATTATTTCAATGGATCAGTATGTCAATTATTTTAGATTATAGTTAAGAATATGTGTTCAAAATTTATCCTTTAATAATAAAATTATAATTTACTGTTTATTATCGAGCGTAACTTCTTACTTTTACCATTTTGCAAAGAGAAATCAGAAATCAATTAAATACAAATGTTATTCTATTACTATTATTATGAATTATGTTCCATTTATTTTTAATATAAAAAGGTAAAGTTTATAAATGATGAAAACAGAAAAAATATTTTCTTTATATAAAACCAAATAAAAAAGATTGATGTAATGTAGTTTATTAATATCTTAATGTGATTCACTGATAAGTAATATGAGTCGTAAACTGCTCAGCAAAATTTCGTAAACTATTATTAGTATTACCTCGATTATTACACATTACAATAGATAAAATGTTTATGTTCTGAATTGTGTAGTTACCATTTTTATACTAAATGCAAATATCTCTAATCTCTTTTTCTCAAGAAAATATGTAGAATTAAAATTTAATTCCAGTTCATTTCTAATAAATATGCTTATTTAACTAAATGTCTTGATTAAAAATTGATAGCTATAATCAATTATAATAAAGATAAATTCAGTAAACTTAGAGACAACAATAATCTGACTGTTATCAGCTTTACTGATAGCTTGATTATATCTGGATTAACGGTAATCCAAATTCTCTTTACTCGTAGAATAAAGGTTGGCGTAAATTGGTTCGGATTTATGCGGTTCTACTGTATTTAACAACAAACTTGGCTTAACCATGTACCTTAAATAAATATTTCTTTTGCCAATATTTTGCGATATCTACTCTATGTATATTTATTTATAAAAATAACTATTACGTTTATTTAAATAGGTATCTATATATCTTTGGTAAAATAAAAAGTGTAAAAACTTACATTGGAGCCACTTATTGAGTAATATGAATTTTTCTAATTGAATACAATCACAAAAATATTTAATTCTTCGATGTCTTAATCACTTAAAGAATTATTATAGTTGATCGTAGAGTTATGCCTTGTTTTCCTACTACCTTCTTCCACCGTCATTCTTGGATTTCGTGACTGCGTGAGAGCATTAGTTTTCTGAAAATCTATTGTGGCATAACTCTTCTTTTCAACCTTGGGGCTTTCTGGGGCCAGTTGTGCACCAATTAAGGTCTTTTTATTTGTCGAATCTAAATCTAACTCAGCATAGTTAACCTCTCCTACTGTTATATACTCAGGGGTGTAATCTACATCGCCATAAGGTATGGTGGGGGTAGGGGGTACACTAGCAAAATGAGTATCAGGTATTGGACGCAAATTTTCAATGTCTTTAGTATCGATGTTCACATAACAATGCTTTTCTTCTGTCTCTATTACTTTTTCAGGTATATCAGTCAATTCTTTGGCAACAGTTATTTCTTTGGTACAATTTTTTGTATCTACATTCATGTAGACATGGCAAGAACTTTCGGCTACAGTTTCTGAAGGCGCTACTCCTAAATTGGCATAATTAGGCAATACAGATCCATTCTCCAGTAAAGCACTGGTATTTGTGTATGATGGGTCTGTAACTAGGCTTCCTCTTTTATTGTTGTTGTGTTCCAATGCTGCATCTGGAGGAGGAGAAGTGGTTGTAGGACTTAGAGGACCATTGCTACTTACAGACCCTGGTCTGCTTAACATGTTGTGAGGTCGGGCAGTACTAGGTACCGTAACGGGATTTAAGTAACCGTCTGGTTGGAATCCCGAACCTATTCTACGTTGAACAGGAGGCCCCGTACTTACCGCTGGTATGGGAAAATCAACGTTTGGATTAATATTATTGGCCGTAGGGTTGTTCTCATCATTAACATTGCCTGTAATATGCTGTTGTACTATGTTAAAAAGCTGTTCAGCCTTCCTACACCGAAATGCATAAATGCCATGTCCAGTTGGACATCTTCGTCCACATTCAAAACTAAAAACTTCAGTGTCAAAACCATACTTTCTTAAAGACCGTAAGGGCCATTTAGTAGGTTCCTTTCCTCTTTGGTATAAGACTAGTTCAGTTTCGGTTACTTGTAATTTTCCAGGGCTTATAGGTCTTCCTTGATCATTAACATTAGTCACTTGAAATATGTTTGGATGCCTATCATTTATGTCCTTGCTACTCACACAACCCATTTTGAATCTAAAGGGATATTATGTAAATAAACAAATGCCAAGGTTAAATTATCTATTTACTTACAAAGACTCTATTACATATTATTTAAGAGCATAGCTTATTTTGTTGCTGTACAATAACTGACGCATATCTTCGACCCATTATTTAATTTAATCCCGTAGTAAATACATTTCTATTCTATCTATTTCTATTACGTCTGATAATCATTTTTATATACAACTAGCTGTCATTGGCAATGACTAATAAAATAATGAGTCTGCGCCGTTTGCTACGCAGAAAATTTGCACACGCAAACTCTTAATACATCTTCTGGATTTAAATTTCTTGAAAAATATTGATCACAATTATCATCATCTACAACTTGTTTATGTTCATCTAGTATTTAATAGTTAAATTGAAGTAATATACTAATTTGTCATATTCTCCCTAGTAAGTGTTGAATAAGTATATAGGTAAGTAGGTTTACTTAAAAATAGGTAAGGAATACTTATAAATTTAAAATACTGTACCTATGTAGGTATAATAGTATTAGAAGAATTTTAAATAATGATGGGTTTGGAAAATATATCGATATGATAGAAATAAATAATGAATATTATTTTATTAAAAAAATATATTATCAGATATATCCTACAATATACACATTCGTTGTATGTGTGGTTGCATATACTCAACGTTATATTTTAAATATTGAAGACACATTTTAATCCATGCATCAAACATAATGTACGTAGGTAGGTATTTGAATAATTATTGTACTTATTTTTTTACGTATAGTCTCTTATTTATATATTTTTTTTGTGACCCTCGGTCTATCTAAGCTAATGACATATGGGATATTAAATTAAAAAAAAAATTGTCAAGGTGACTTTAGACTTTAAGTCCCAATTATTTTTAAATTAATCATAATATCTACTTGCACACAGCGCCAGCGTCTCATTATGATGAGCTATGAAAGAACACAAACGTCATAAACTTAATTGGAGATTTTTGAAAGGTCAAAACATAGCTTAGTGCAAGCCAAATATTCCTTAATCAAATTTTGCATCTTTTCTATTTATCTGAAGTGACTTAAGTTTAAAAAAGGCTTTAAATTTTCCTTCTACTAAAGTACTTCTGTCTTTTGAGTGAAAATTAAAAAAAAAATGTTCATTTTGTGTTTATTAGTGCGGACCGAGTCCAGTTACTAAGTGACGATATATCTGTTGCGAACAGTTAGATAGAAGGCGACCGTCAGATTTAGAATTGATTGACGTTTTTTGAAAACATAATAATATATTCAGCATTATTACTGTATTTCTTTAAGTTATATAAATTACATAATCAAGTTTAGAAGTTTAATTCATATTTAAGTCAATAAGACTACATTAGTTTAAGGCTCTGTAATTACATATTAGTGGAGTAAAAATTGTTTTCTTGTTTACATATCAACAATCTGGACAATATAGTTTAATATACAGGGTGTAACAAAATGATTCTCAAACATTAATGGGTTTTCGACAAGTTAATAAAAAATAATCATATAAACATGTAAGTATCTGTGTCTGTCTTTGTTGTTCATTTACCGAAACTAACCCATTTCGAAGACAAAATAAGTTTTTCACATATTTCTACAGATTTTTTAACATCTGGAGTTACCATAAATGATAAATTACTACAACTAACTAACTAACTAACTTGCTGAATATTGAAAGTTATGCTTTAAAAGAATTTGGCTAAAATTTATAGTTCCACTTAAAAAATCCGATGTCACAAATCCAAACACCTCAACGTGAAAGAGGTCCAAGAAAATGTCAAGAAACTTCATTGCTTTGGAAATAATTTACTCTACATTTTTTCACACGCCGGTATTAATCACAGTAAATTTAACTTACTTCTAGATGTTTATGGATTTACAAGATATTTCCTAAGTAAGAAAAAATATGATTCAGTTAATTGAAGAAGACAGGCAGAATTACACCAGGAAAATTAGCGAAAATAAAAGAGAAACTCGAAAAATGTCCTATCCGCGAGATTGTTGTAAAATTGTCTAAAGGAACATAATACAAGACATCTCACGTCTCATGAGTCAAAAAATTTTATTAGCTAACTTTTCTATTTAAACAAATAAGTGAGGAAAACAGTTTTTTCACATTGCAGGGAAAACCATCAATTTTAGCGAAAAGTGACTCTCAGACAGCTTGTAGGGAGTATCATTTTCTACAAAATGAGACTTGTTAAATTAAAATCGATTAATAAACAAAAAAGTTATTGCAAAAAAACAAGAAAAGTGCCCATTTTTTAATTTGTTTATAACTATCGCATTTATTGTTAAAATTTTATAAAACCTATGACAAGTTGTCATACTTTAAAAGTGTGCCAAAAGTGGGCGCTGTAGGTGCAATAGTTTTCGCACAATTTAATTTGTTTATTACGGAGGCTCCAAAAGTTATGAACCTCGCCTCTGTACAGGCGTCAATTTTCAACCAAACATGATTCTGAAAGCGTCATTGTAATCTTAAAGACGTCATTAAGCGACCTATTAAAAAACATCACCGTTTTTTTGACATTAACATTCTCAAATTGTGCATTAAAAACCGTGCGTTTTTCGCTTATAAACAATTTAAATAAAATTGTTGCTATTTATGCTACCTCACCGAAAATAATACAATGGATAGCCGGCAAAAAAATACAAATTTAAAAAAAAACACCCTCTACGACCAACAGGAGCCAAGATAAGAATTTTTTTTTTAAATCGTAGCGCAATTGTTTATAAATATTAAGACTTGAATTTTTCGCAAAATAAAGTTTACCCCGTAAACTACGATTTCCCGTGAATTGCATTGAAAAATGTGGAAAATTAACGACTCGCGAGCCCTTTAAAGAGAACGTACTCGCTAAGTAAACTGTCCAGCGGCCGGCGGCGTGGTGGTGGGGGAAGCTTGTCCAAGCGAGTCGCACGCGCGAGAAAAGTTAATAAAGGTCAAATTGATGCGCGCTGTAAATTTTGCAATATCTCGGCTTCTATTCATCGTAGAAACTTATTTTTTTTTAAACTGGGGTAGCTCGACGAAAAAATAACAATGGGCATATTTACGAATTCGTAGAATAGCCCTACACCCCAGAAAAAATGCATCTTTTATACTTATTTTTTTTTAATTTACAAAAATTTCGCAAAAATGATTGTTAAACGAAATATTAATTAAAATTTCAATTTCGAAATTATTTTACTATTATTAAATAAATAAATGAAGCTATCGTTCATTTAAAAAGATATTTTTTTACATATTAAGGCAAAGTAAACTTGTTTTTTCAAAATTTTGTTAGCTATTTAATTACGATTTCAATGTAAAATTAAAGTAAAAATTCATAAATTTACACCGCGCATCAATTTGAACTTTTCTCGCGCGTGCGACTCGCTTGGACAAACTTCCCCCACCACCACGTCGTCGGCCGTCGAACAGTTTACTTAGCGAGTACCTTCTCTTTAGGGCTCGTGAGACGTTAATTTTCCACATTTTTCAATGCATTTCACGGGAAATCGTAGTTTACGTCATAAACTTTATTTTGCGAAAAATTCAAGTCTTAATATTTATAAACAATTGCGCTACGATTTAAAAAAAATTCTTATCTTTGCTCCTGTTGGTCGTAGAGGGTGCTTTTTTTTAAAAAAAATTGTATTTATTTTGCTAGCTATCCATTGTATCTATTTTCGGTGAGGTAGCATAAATAGCAACAATTTTATTTAAATTTAAATAAGCGAAAATTATTTATTTTCATTTCTGTTGTAAAATTTCCTACATCTTGTTATTACATTAGTAGACATTTATTTATTTTTATTTTTGTTAATGATGTTTAATAAAATTATTTAGACAAACTGTCATATCCCATAACTGGTACTCGTAACTTGATTATTTCTAATGCATACGGTGTAAATTTATCTGCTAGGCTGCATCTGCATGTGACGGACGTTTGTTGAATTTTTTGCGATTAAACGGTATGAATTATCAAAATTTTGGAAGAGATAGAATTTATTTTAAAATATTTTAGTTAGGAACAATCAGATAAAACACAAAAATAATATGGATATTTTTTAACTGACGTATCCAGTTTAAGGCATTTGTGCATGCAAGTCGGTAATTAACATTAATTGCATCAGGAAAGGCCTTTTACCAGTTCAGAGTGTCCTATCGGGAACTGCGTCGATCGATATCTAGGAGAGTACTAAAGTGTGACAAAGTAATTTCAAGAACAATTTGCTGCTTTTTCCATAAATAACAAACAAATTAAAATAATCCTCATCAGTATAATTTAAACGATCCCCAGGCATTTTTATTTAAATTTTCAGCTAAAATTATTCAGACAGGACAATAATTTGACAACTAACTTGACAAATGTCAAGTTGCTTCAATTGTTTCTGGAGTGTGTCTGGTCATGGCCAATTTGACAACAGGTCTGATTCGAGAAAAACTGTCCAAAAAATAGAAAATTGCAAATATCTCTAAAAGTAGTAACGGCAACCCTAATAATGCTTATGGTTTGAAAGGAAATTTCAATCTGCATACGACAATGTAAAAAAATACAAAGTGTTCCATTTAAGTTAACAAAGTTATAGCTGTTTGAAGTTATCAAAATGTAACGGCAAAAATGAAACACTTACTATTAAACGTCTTAATTTGTTGGTATATCACAATTTAGTGTTAGTTATGCCCTTTGCAGGTACCCAAAATCCACTTGATATCACGCTCCTGAAAAGAGTTACTAGCATCTCCGCGGACCCTTGCATTTGTCAAATTTTTTCTTCAAAGAGTAATATCTCAAATTCTGTAACTCCTAGGTATAGGAAATATTTAATAAAGTGGGCCTCAAATTTCGCGTAGAATCCGAAAATGCAATAATAATGGGGTGACCCATTTAAAATAACGGTGTCGATTTCCGATATAACCGGAAGTACTGAAGAGTTCTAGATATTTTAGTTGTGTTCGCCCCAGGGACATTACCATGTTGCCATATTTTCAAATTTTTCGGAGCATTACTTTCCTAGATATCGATCGACGCAGTTCCGGGTGGGACACCCTATATATTTTCACATACCAAATTTCATTTTAATTGTTAAACGCATAACTGATTATTGATATTTTTCAAAAACTTTGATGCCCCTAGCGCCCTTACGATACACATCGTAGTTTGCCCTTAATAATCTTGGGTGGCTCGCTGCTACGTGTATTTCAGGGACACCCT